GCAAGCGGTTTGATCCAACGTTAACAGAAAAAAATTTTGATTTTTGCTCAAATTTCCCTCAAGCGGCTTGTCAAACTTTCAAACACCCCCAGACACAACATAAATGGCTTGAAGCAAAGAGATATTGCCCTTGGTTTGCCAAGCCGCTTGTGTGATGCATTTCGTTCTCATGAACCAAAAATACAAGATCACGTAAGAACGCGACGTTGTATTTGTAACTGGTTTTGAGAAAAAAGTTTGCGAAAGCGGGTTCGTCAGCTGAGCGTTTGTTTACATCACAAGCACCACTGTTTTACACTTTTATTCAAGTAAAGAAGAGTTAATTCAACATGACACCACATTTTAAAGCATTTTGTTGCATCATTTTATCTAAATTGTGCGTTTAAAGTGGCTGACAATAATTTTGGCTAATTTTGGTTTTCGTTGTTTTCTTGCTTTGTTTACTTTTCGCTCGTTTTCCAGTGAAACAAGATGGCGTAGAACCCGCTAAAAAAATCGACTTTTTTCACTCTCTTGTTCTTACGTGATCTTGTGTCTTTCGTTCATGTTTCGTTCTTTAACTGGAAGCAACAGTAAAGCAAAGCCTACATCTTCAATTGGTTGAATCACCAGCCGTCTTCACCTGCTTGAAAACCTCGCTTGCGTTCTACCTCTTCTTTTTCGCAATCTAGAGTGGGTTTGAATGACTGCCCATTTGACAGCATACTTTTTCATTTGTATAATGTCGCCAAACCAGAAGGAGCCTTGCAGGCAAAATTTGTATTTGCTACCAAAATAAAGATCTGGCACCTCTAAAGAGTTCTGCCAACAACAAAAATGTCAGTTGAAAGCAAGCGAGAGCTCGGAAACCGCCCTAGTCTGTGTTGAAGCTGTAACCTCTTAGTTAAGTTTATTTTCTGTCATTTCGTGATCGTCTGGCAATACTATTCTCGTTCTTGTCATTCATTTCTGTTTTGCATCATTCTTGTTCGTAGCGTCGAAGCGAGCGGTTCAGTGGTTTTGGCGTATTATCAAGCAGGTGTTTTCTATTGCGGTTTATTTGCAAGTGGTGACTTTGTTCTTTTCATTTGTAAAGGTTCTTGTATTTAATTTTGTAATAATCATATATAAACTAAAATTGTAACAAAGAGTTTGTGACTAGTGGATTAAGCTATTTAAAACTATTGTGGCTGTAATTTGGACTTTTTA